TTCTGGCACTGTGGCCGAAAGCTGGGGAGGGATTTGGGGGCAGGAGGCCACTTACCCAGGCTGGTGGCCTGCAGCATGGAGAGCACCGACCCCAGCTGGCCCCTCACTGCCGGGTGCGGCCGCTGCCCTGTGGTCACTCTGCAGTGTAGCTCTCCCCTGCACTCGCTGCCCCCTGTGGTCAAAACCTGTCACCGCTCTCAGGCCCCTCCCTTTCTGTGTTGGGGAAAACAACCCCATTCCAGGCACTTCCCATTGTCCTGGCACAACCAAACCCTGCCCTTGCTGTACAGTAGGATGAGAGTAAACTGCCAAGGTGCGGCCGCTGCCCTGTGGTCACTCTGCAGTGTAGCTCTCCCCTGCACTCGCTGCCCCCTGTGGTCAAAACCTGTCACCGCTCTCAGGCCCCTCCCTTTCTGTGTTGGGGAAAACAACCCCATTCCAGGCACTTCCCATTGTCCTGGCACAACCAAACCCTGCCCTTGCTGTACAGTAGGATGAGAGTAAACTGCCAACCACATTTGGGGATCCTAACTCTTATAATTTAGGAGGAATTCCTGAACACACAGACTCACAGACAGCTGGAGTCACAGACAGACAGACAGACAAATATACAAACTCTCTAAAATACATAGAGAGATGATAATGTCACTAGTTCTCCAGTCACATGTTTCTTTCTTTGTTTGTTTTTTGTGTGTATGTGTGTGGGGAGGAGGGGAATTAGGAAAAACCTTTTTAACATCCTGGTAGTTTTACTGTGGAATGTCTTCCATGGGATGTAGGAGAATCCCCAAGAGCTGGTTTAGGAACAGGTTGGAGAAACCACCCTTCAGGGTTGGTCTAGATTCAGTTGGTCCTGCCTCAGCACAGGACGCTGGAAGAGATGTCTCCCAAGCTCCTTTTCAGCCCCACATTTCTGTGATTTTACGAAAATATCAGGAGTTGCTCCTCCGCCTCTTTAGGTGCGTGGTTCTATGCTGTTGGGTGCCAGTAAAGTATATAAAAAAAACCGCTGTTCTCCTCTCTTCTGCACTTTCCCACCTCTTTTAGGAGAAAACGAGATAGAGCAGTCCAGACAGAAGTTTGCTACCATACATATGTCTTACAAAGAAAACGATATCAAAGAACTCCTCGCCAAAGCGAAGAATAACGTATCCTACAACCAGAAGACGATTCTGGAGGAAATCAAGAAGATTGTGTCCTTGCCTCCCTCTAAAGAAAGACAGGAAACTTAGAGAGAAAGAGAGAGAATGATGATTATTAGGTGAATAAATATATCATTAGTAGTTAACAGTAACATAAACGGATCATCTCAAGGTCATCCCACTTGAAGAAGTAGGTTTTGCCCAGGAAAGCTCATGATACTATATATCTATGTACATGAATTTGATATTCTCTAAGGTGCAACAGAACTACTTGATAGAAATGTAGCCGTGTTACTCTGGTGTAGCTGCAACAAAAGTTCTGTATTTTGTTACAGAACTACTTGTTATTTTCTAAATAAATTCATATGCAAAAGTTATGAAACGTAGATAGAATTTACATGTTGGTTTGTCAATGTTCACACGCCAGACACATCGTGATGCTGCCGAGACCATTCAGATATGAAGGGCTTTTTCTTCAAATGTATCCTCACCCCACACTCCAAAAAAGAGTTCAGCTCCTTCACGCTTGCTATCTGGTCACCCTACATCCCTTTCACGCAGACATTGTCACTGTGCACAATGTTAACATTGCAGCTGCCTGGCAAGTACATGTGTCTGCAAGATCTCTCTGTGGTTTCTCGTAGTTTACAGAAGGAAATAAGAAAGGAGTTTTGTGGTGAGTGGCGAGGCATCTAACAATCTCATTTACACCCTGGGTAGATGCGGAGTAACTTCACGGCAGCTCACAATGTTCCTCCATCCCCAGAGGTGTTCAAGTCCCAGCTTGACCAAGCCCTGGCTGGGATGGTTGAGTTGGGTTGGTCCTGCTTGGGGCAGGGAGCTGGACTGGATCAGCAGGAGCAAGAATTCCTGCAGGACCAGGGAAGGGAGCGTGAACGTGTCGGACCATGGGCTGTAGGAGGAGAGGGAGAGAGTCCAGCGCCAACGGGCCCCAGGGCAGCACTGAGAAGACATCCCTTTCTATGGCCCTGGGACGTAGCTGGGAGAACCCACATCCTCTGGCTACAGAAGGCAGAGAAAGTGCTCTTCCAACGCCAAATTCAGATTCCTGCGCAAGGCCCTGGCCCCTGCCCCTCTGCGCCCAACACCTGTGCCCAGGCTGCTGAGTAGAACCATGATGTCCAGATCCCACAGGAAGCTCGAGGAGACATCAGTCTGTCGTGGAACCCAAATGCCATGGCAGCCGTGAGCGAACCACGGACGTCGGGAGCCTGCCCCACTGCTCTGGGGGTCTCTTGCAGCCAGCACAGGACCCTGGCCGGGG